GGTAGAAGGAGTTGAAGAAGGAGGATTTAGAGCAAAGGGAAATCAGGGTTACTGGTATAGTGTAAGCTTGAGAAAGTGCTGACTCCCCCAGAAAAGGTCTGAGAACATGTTGATCATTTGCAATCGCTGATGTATAACAGAGGTGCCATAATGTCAGGTGATTAATGTGTTTTTGATGCTTTGTTTTGAATGCTGTGCATGGCAGGAATATGCATATCATCCTTTGTCTGAGCTGCACCTCTTCTTAGGTACTATCACAAATTACTTATGATCCAAACACCGAGGACACCTCCTGACAATAGAGTAAATTGCATGCAGTTGCATACAGAACTATTGTGGGTTATCTTGTATTATCTTTTTCATGTCCATTTCCCCCTCACTTCCATGACGGTTCATCCACAATCTCAGATCACCCCTAGCAAAACCAGATTTTCTCTGTGTTCATCCTAAGTGATTCCTTCTTTGATTTCAGTAGTTCCATATTGCAATATGGAGGCAGAGACATAGTCCATCCTTCATTGAGGTCAGATTTTTGGCTACCCACAGCAGGTGTCTTTAAGGATGGGACAAACATTAAAAACTCTTTTGGAATGCTGTGGTCTCAGATCCCAGGAGAGGAGAGAATCCTGAACAATTCCAGGAGCACTTAAGGAAGGGAAAACTTCCTGACTAGATTAAATTCTAATAGCGTCTTCACTACTAGTGTGTCAGCCATGAAGATCATCACATTTAGGCTCTGTATCTAAAAGCTTTACCAGTTTGCAAAGTAGCAGTATGCCATGCAATGCCCAATGTGGAAACCCACTCTCCCAGCTCTCCCAGGAGTGTCCCACACTCTACCTGCCCTCCCAATCCTCACCAGTACCTCTGCTTTCCCAAGGTGCACCTCTCTTCAATGTTTTCAACCATTTATTTTGGCACCATTGCTCACAAGCACTTGGGCTGTGAGGAGGCACCAGACAGAGCCTCCCTGCCCGCCCCTCCTGCTGTGCCAGGACACAGCAGAGATTCAGAAAATGGGTCTGTTTCCCAAGGCACTTTTACCCAGTGAGATGGGCATTAGGGGACTAAGGCAATGGGCATGAAATGGGTGGATGGAGAGTGGGTTCACAGGAGCAGTGGGGATCTCCCTACTGGAGTGTAGGTATGGCTGTTACAGTCGCTCCCAAATGAATTCCCTGCATCCCTTTCTTCTTCTTATCACACCTCTGGCCACTGCACCTTGCTACCTGCACCGTGACCCAAGTGCTTGAAGGGGGATGATGTTGTAACTAGCAAATGCTCTCACAGATGATCAAAAGTAGCAGAGTTGAAGTCCAGGGTTAGGCACCAAAAGATAGATGATGTTAATTTGGTTTTTGTCTTCCTTTCTTTCCTTTTTTCTGTTTTCTTTTTTCTTTTTTCCTTCCTTCCTTCCTTCCTTCCTTCCTTCCTTCCTTCCTTCCTTCCTTCCTTCCTTCCTTCCTTCCTTCCTTCCTTCCTTCCTTCCTTCCTTCCTTCCTTCCTTCCTTCCTTCCTTCCTTCCTTCCTTCCTTCCTTCCTTCCTTCCTTCCTTCCTTCCTTCCTTCCTTCCTTCCTTCCTTCCTTCCTTCCTTCCTTCCTTCCTTCCTTCCTTCCTTCCTTCCTTCCTTCCTTCCTTCCTTCCTTCCTTCCTTCCTTCCTCTCCCTTTCTCACCCTTTCTCACCTTTTGCTTTCTCCATTGCTGTCTCTCTCGCCTTGTTCCCTTCTCTCCCTCTCCTTCTCCCTCTTCCTTTCCCTCTCCCTTCTCCTCTCCACCTCCCTCTCCCTTCTTCCTCCCTTTCCCTCTCCCTTTCCCTCCTTTACTTTGATCTTGCTTTCTCTCTTTCAGTCTCTGTTCCTCTCCTTTTCTGTCATTGGGGAGGAAAGCACTTTTTGGTCAAGGCAATGTTTCTGGGTCCTGAGTGTATGGCTTGGAAGTGCTTGGAGAAGAGCAGTAATGAACATTATTATGACAAGTTATTGACAAGAACTATCTGATGGTAATCATGGTTTTTCCCAAGATCAGTTACCTTTGCATCAGCACTTATCAGGTCACAAGCAGTCTCACTCCAGAAATAGTGTGCCAATGCAAAATGACTCCTGTCCTCCACCTAAGGCAGCAAATCACAAAGTGAGGAGAAACTAGTTTTCCTTACCCCTCCCATTAATATTCCACTCTGATTCCAAGAAGTCTCTGATCATGCTTTCCAGGCTGCCCAGTGGCAAAGCCTGGTCAGCCCAGTGCAACGTGTGGCACTTCTCTCCATTTCCCACACATGCAGTTTGAAGTAGATAATCGGACCAAGATGTTGTCATCTAAGGAACCTTTCATCAGTTGAGCATTTAGGAACAAATTCTCAAGCCATAATTTCTCACAGGGGAGAGAAGAGCCCCAACATTTTCAAGTGCTTCAAGTGCATCATGATTCTTCCACAGTCAGGCCAGGTTGCTCGTTTTGGGTGGTCATTGTAATAGTGTCCAAGGGGAACAGGCGTTTTAGACATCAAAATACGGTCCCCAAAGTTGTTGTGGTATTTGCTAGACAGTCAGCAGGTTGAAAAAGTGTCCACGGAGCTAGAAATACTTCTCCACGCTTTTACTGAGCCACAGCTGCAATACACTGACTTTGTAATTAAGCTTTTGCCTTTGGTATAGTTTGTTTGCTTGCTCAGTTGAAAAAATATGTGCTTAGTACAAACAAACCCCTTTTGCTTCCTTTCAAGGTGTGGAAAGAAAGGTTTTGTCTGGAAAGAAAGAATCCCACCTATTTCACGGGAGCATACTGTGGGAAGGAAGAGTGGAGAGGGGTGGTTTCTCTTCTCTGGTGCCCAGATATCGCTGGCATTGATGCAGATTTCACAGCTTCACACATGAAGATGCTGTCTCTCAAGAGCATCACTTACAGTGACACAAGAGTCAAAACAGGGTGTCATGTTTTCGTTAAATATATTTAGCTGCTGCCTAGCAAGTACTTCCATATTTAGTTATAACATGGGAGGATTCCTTGGGTGTAAACCTCAGGGTGCTTGGGAGAAGGAGGTCCTCCTAATCCTGAAGGCCGTTGCTGCAAACACACTGACCGTTGTGGTCACTGCAAAAGGCTTCCTTCGTGCTGCCTCTTCCCCACCTCCCCTCCAACAACTCCAGCTCCCTTCCCCACCAACCTCACAGCTTCTTGAAGTACTCCCTGGAAATGCAGTGGTGTAGAGCTAGCCAGGAACCTTGAGGGACCCAGAAGTGTCCCTATAGTGTGAGAGAGAGAAGTCTCCTTCACCATTCCTGACATTTGCTTGTAGAATCTGCCCTTAGCAGCTACACAATGCATCAGGGTCCAGCGCTGCCAGAATGGCTGTTCCATATTTTGAGCTGCAATGCTGCTTCTTGTGCAGGTAATTAGCCACCTATTCCAGATACATGAGGCACTACCATGGCTGTCCCTGTGATCTCCCAGTGGGTACAGTGCTCTTTGCTTCAGGGTGAAGGAACCGGTGTTACCCAGACATGCAATCTACTCAGACACACGGCCCTTGTGGCACTGGCAAGAATGGCTGGTGTCGGGGTCCACCTTGAAGGTCTTCCTCATGGTCAGTTTTTCCTAATTTTTGTCCTGCCTACATATTCTGTCCTCATTTTAACTGTTTGCATTGTTACCCCATATGGGAGGAATTGAAAGTCAGTGACTGTTGGCTACTTCTTTCCACCCAGCATTCAGTTCACTTATACAATATAACTCATTCATTGCTGCAAAAGGCAGACAGGAAGCAGTGGTTGGAACCATGGAGCTACCATGTTTAGTGTTTCCCTCTATTCTGAGAGTGTCAGACACGGAGATTTCTTTCATCAGGTTGTTATGTTCCCAGAGTTGTTCTCAATTCTGGTTTTAGATAATGAAAACCCATTCCTCTTGATATCACAGAATCACAGAATCACAGAATCACAAGGGTTGGAAGGGACCTCGGGAGATCATCTAGTCCAACCCCCCTGCTAAAGCAGGCTCTCCTAGAGCATTCTACACAGGACTTCATCCAGGCGGGCCTTGAATATCTCCAGAGAAGGAGACTCCACAACCTCCCTGGGCAGCCTGTTCCAGTGCTCTGTCACCCTCAAAGTAAAGAAGTTTTTCCTCATATTCAACTGAAACCTCTTATGTCTCAGTTTGCACCCGTTGCCCCTAGTCCTGTCGCTGGACACCACTGCAAACAGACTGCTTCCGTCCTCTTGACTTCCGCCCTTAAGATATTTGTATGTGTTGATAAGGTCCCCTCTCAGTCTTCTCTTCTTCAGGCTGAACAAGCCCAACTCTCTCAGCCTTTCCTCGTAGGGGAGGTGCTCCAGTCCCTTTATCATCCTAGTTGCCCTCCTCTGGACTCTTTCTAGGAGTTCCTCATCTTTCTTGAACTGGGGAGCCCAGAACTGGACACAGTACTCCAGGTGGGGTCTCACCAGGGCAGAGTAGAGGGGGAGGATAACCTCCCTCGCCCTGCTGGCCACACTCCTCTTAATACACCCAGGATACCATTGGCCTTCTTGGCAACAAGGGCACATTGCTGGCTCATGGTCAGCATGTATCATGGTAAAACATGTAAAAAAATCGTTTACAATTTCTCTTCTTACAGAAAAAAATTCTTAAATAAAATTACAATTCCATTGCTGGAAAACACTGTAGTGGAGTGCAAAAAATTTTGTTTCCTCTGATGGCTGTAACTGTAAGAGTAGCTGGGATGGTAGCGTCTGGACACAGATTTTCTGGATCTTACTCCAGAAAATGAAATGATTTCTGGAGCTTACAAATTAATTGTTTGAAAACAACCAAAATTTAAGTAACCGCAGAACTGTATTTTAAAACCCAAAAGCACTGCTTCTGCTGTGTATGCAAAGGAATCTACAGTCTTTATTCTCTAGACATTGACATGGTTACTAAGACTAATTACAGAAGAAAGTGACCAAGAGGTTCACATTTTGTGCAGCCCTCAGGTCACTTTGCTGCCTCACAACATCCTCACTCTTCCTCTCCTATCTTCTTGCTGTGAAACTCCCGGCTCTTCACTCGGAGCTTGTTGACCTGCGACTCTGCAATGTCAGCCCGCTCCTCAGCTTCCTCCAGCTCGTGCTGGATCTTGCGGAACTTGGAGAGGTTGACATTGGACAGCTCCTCCTGTGCGGGGAGAGGGAGTCATCAGTGAGGAGCTCAGGGCAGGGGTTTCACTCCTCCTGTGCCCCAGCCTTGCGGGGCTACGGCTCTTCCCCACAGGAAGGAACAAACCACTACCCCCCACCCACCACTGCTTACGCATAGGCCTCACACAGACCTCCTCATCCTCCCTTATTCTGGACCCCACTCTGAAAAGCTTCACCAATACTGAGCCACTCTCGAAGAGCTCTTTTGTCACTTGGATTTGTCATTTGTGTACTTATTCTCCCACTGCTTGCTGCCCAACTATCAGTGTGGTTCACCAGGTTAAGGAAGAGACCCTGAAGCCACCTGCTCTTGATTACTAGCAGAGCTTCTTGAACTTCTCAGCCTGTGGGTGTGGCCCCCAGGTTTGTTTAGTCTGACCTCCTGTATAAAACAGGCTGCAGAACTTCCCTGAGTTCATCCCCGACTGCTGTAGGGTGCCCACAACTCAGCGAGGCTTCATGACACAATAGCAAAGTGGCGTGGCCAAGACCGTTGTGTCTTGGGAGTTTCTGTCATGCCCCTTTCCTGGTATCCATACTCATCTCAATGAGCGTGCTGCCCCGATGGAAGGCTGCTCTTGCCCGTGCCCCAAGCCATACTTACAGCCTCCTCAGCTTGTCTCTTGTAGGATTTCACCTTCATTTGCAGCTTGTCCACCAGATCCTGCAGCCTGAGAATATTCTTCCGGTCTTCCTCAGACTGGAGTGGTGGGTAAGCGGGGAAGAGAGTGAATTATTGGTTTCTCCCCACCAGCTGAGCTTAACAATTCCCCTTGGGGATGCTGTCTGCAAGATTTGACTTGCTGTGGGAAAACTCTGTCAGCCCAAGGAGGCCTCCGGCCTTACCTGGTAGGTCAGCTCCTTCACCCTCCTCTCATACTTGCGCACACCCTTCACGGCTTCAGCGCTGCGCTTCTGCTCAGCATCAACCTCCCCTTCCAGCTC